TGAACCGCTTCAGATCCAAGGAAAGTGCAGTTTAGGACCCAGCTTCCCAGGATACCACTCCCCAAGTGGGATCAGAACCCAAATGAATTATTCAGGTAAGCACCCTTTAGCAATGAAAGGGGGAATGTACACACTGGTTGCTCCCCAGGTAATAATTATTTACATTGGGCTTGATAGTAAGTAAAAGTGATTTTATTAGGAACAAGGCTTCAGATCCAAGGAAAGTGCAGTTTAGGACCCAGCTTCCCAGGATACCACTCCCCAAGTGGGATCAGAACCCAAATGAATTATTCAGGTAAGCACCCTTTAGCAATGAAAGGGGGAATGTACACACTGGTTGCTCCCCAGGTAATAATTATTTACATTGGGCTTGATAGTAAGTAAAAGTGATTTTATTAGGAACAAGCGGTAGGATTGAAGTGGTTGTAAGTGAGAACAGGCAGAGCAAAGTAGATTACAAACACAAAATAACAAGAAATGCTTAGCTAACTAACACTGAAACCTCAGTACCCAAGTTCATTACAAACTCACCCTAAAACTGTCTCTTTTCCAGCAAAGTCTTCCAAACCAGGGCTGTCCCTCACCCCGGGGTCTTCAGTTCTTTCCCTCCATTGTGCCAGCCAAAGACTACTTTCCTATTGTTTTTAAAGATTCCCTTTTCGCATGGGAAGTCACCTGGCCTGTTCCTACCAACCCCTGCTAAGCCTTAAGGACAAAAGGCTATTTGCATATGATTGCCCAGACCCTGAGGCCTCCCTTGATGACTTTCATTCACACATTTAAAACCCATAAAAGTATTCCCTACTTCCTATGTCTAATATTACACACAAGAATGATACATACTCCAAAATAGGATGAACAGATCTAGCGGATTAAGGCATGAAGATTGATAGGCTACATGAAGTAATTTGTACATTTATGTCCATAAGTCCATTTCATAAAGCATGCGGGGGAGGGGGAGATTGAACTGCCACACAGTGTAAGGCACTTGTATGAAAATATAACTGTGCACACACTAAATATTGTGCTGGGACAACCATTTAGGTAGAAATAATTAAAGAAATGCCCCTACCAAAATAGTTCTCTAATGACAAGGAACTGTGCATAGCCCAGGCCTGTACGCGTACAACCACTACCAGGTGCTGCTGTGCATGCAGACATTGTCCCAAGCAAGAGAGAGAGTTGTCACCCACAGCAGGGCTCACCGAGCGGCAGCGAGCCCCGCTCGCCAGCAGCACGGTTCTGTGCTCTGCGCATGCGCAGATCGTTCTGCGCCGGCTCTTCCGGGGTGTAATCTACTTGCCACGGGTGAGTAGATTACACTGTTTGTCGAGCCCTGACCCACAGGATACAGGCATTGCCCCATGTATCCTGCAGGTGACAACTTATCTCTTGCTTGCCTCTCTCGCTTGGGACAACGTTCACAAGCACAGCAGCACCAGGTGCGTCAATCCCCTTCAAAAGCTCTGCAATCCCTGAGTCAGACACTCCAACCTGAGCACAGTGTCCCAGCTCCCAGGGGAGAAGGGGGAGAGAGGCTCCTTTGCACAGCAAAATGACCTTCACGGTATGTCGCTTCCAGATCAGGACCAAAGTGTTCCAGGAGAGAGTCAGGGCCATAAGGTGCAGAACTCTGATTCACCATCATTCTCCCTGCATTTGAACCCTGGTAAGTGACCTCTGACCCCGGCTTTCTGACTTTAAGTGCACGTGGCCAGTTTTGAGGGGCTCCAGGGGCGGTGAGCTAGGAGTGTTCCCCTGGGGAAGGCAGAGTCAGAGCAGGGAATGAGGTTTGGGTTCAGTGATAAGCCTGGGCCTTTAAGGGGACCTGGCTCCAGCCCCTCCTCCAGACAGGTTTGTGCCTGGCCTTGGATCTCTTCTTGTCAACCTGAAGCAGCTGGACTGTCAGTCTCTGTGCCAGCCACTGTATGGACAGATAGGAAGCAGCTGGGCCACCATGTCTGGCTCCTAGTGTTAGAGGCTGCCGTGGGCAAGGCGTGGGTGGTTATCTTTGTGCTGCCCAGACAACCACCT